TCGCTCGCAGGCGAAATATGGAAGCTCTGGCGCCCAGGGTACACTTTGTTAACGTTCGCTAATCATGAAACTTTTGGTTTCTAGAGGAGATTTAACCGAAATGGATTCTGAATGCGTTGAAGTTAAAGAGCTGAAAGACGGCTACAAKRCATTGATTGCAAAAGAAGACATCAAGTCWGGAACGTTCTTGGGAGATYTTTGGGGACCGGTTTTGTCTTCGCCAACARGACATACCYRTCACATTGGARTAAACAAACACATCGCGCATGTTGGCAAGAATAGATTCAAAAACCACTCATGCGATCCCAATRCTAARTYAGTATACAGTCAACGCCAAGGAGCCCMTATTCCAGTAGAAGATGGCTGGGAGTTGGCCTGGCATATAGTAGCCACAAAGGMTATTTCCAAAGGCGAAGAAATAACGAATGACTATACAATGACAGAGTACCAGATGGCTGTCCCTTTTGAGTGTAACTGTGGTTCTGAAAACTGCTTGGGTACTGTGCAAGGATTTAAATTTTTACCCGCTGAGGAGAAGGAAAAACGTATGTCCTATGTTTCGCCTGTTATCAAGGAATTGTTAAAGTTGGAGGCTGAAAAAAAATAACTGGATCTCTCGAGTAATCCGCGCTGACTTTTGTCTTCTGATCTAAAAAAAACAAAAACAAAAAACACACACACAAAAAAAATGGCCTGATAGCTGGTTTCTGGGTAGTGACGAAGGATATTTTTGGTCATGATTGATACGGGATATGCACACAACATTTTGGTTCTTGATCCCAAAAATTTCGCACACAAACCTTGTTTTACTGATACAGATCGCGGGCGCGGATACTTGTTTTTAAGTTTGGGCGACGTCTGAACTATTTTGACTATTTTGAGATAGATCAATAACGAGAACGCCTAACCCCCAGTTTTTATTTCAGATTTTTCAATAAATTCAATGCTTATCATCATATATCAAAATATGAAGGAAAGATTATTGGATAGGTTTTGAAATATTTTGATGGGAATAGTTGACATGTGCAATTTTTGGACTTCGTAGAGGGGCACATACCTCAGTGAATTTTTCACTTATAGTTCAAGAATCATAGTCATCCAATGACTTTGATGGATTTAATA